TTTAATTTTTGGTGATTATACAAAAAAGAAGTGAATTTCATATTTAAATATTGTTAAATTTAATAATTATAATATGAAATTAATGTAATATATTAATTATCATATAAGTGAAAATAAAGAATATGTGTTTAAAATATTAGTATGTATAATTTTTTTTATTAGACATTTTGAATATCAGCAAAAAGAGTTATGTTGCTGAAAGCATGGAGGATTACTATTCAGCTCACTATCAGCAACAAGAAGTATGTTGCTAATAGTCACTTATAATCAGCATCAACTAGTTCTTGCTAACTTTTAGCAACACAAGCCATGTTGCTGAAAATCAAGTTCCGGTCATCGGTTTACCACTAATTTTTAGTAGTTTAACACTAATTTTCAACAACATGAGCCATGTTACTGAAACCCCATATTCAGTAACGTGGCTTATGTTGCTGAAGAGGGTGAGGAAATTCACCTCCCCTTTCTACCGGATTCCGGTGAAAGTTTTCAGCAACATAAACTATGTTGCTAATACTTTTTTTTCAACAACATAGCTTATATTGTTGATATATTAATTAGCAACATGATTTTGGTTGGTAATTTATTATCCACTAAGCTTTCTCCAACAAAACTTTTAGCAACCAAACCCATATTGCTGAAGGACTTTCAGCAACATGAAAAGCACTTTCAACAACATGAAAAGCACTTTCAACAACATGCTTCCATGTTGCTAAAGGCTTGAATTTTAGTAGTGGTCTATGCACTACACTATGACTAAGGACTGAGTTAGAAATTGAAGTTAGGAGGTAAAAATGTTATTTTTTTTGAGTGATTTATTATTTATATTAGTATAGTTTATATAATTTTTATATTATTGTTAATTTTATGTATATATTACTTAAATTATGTATGTAAAAATTTAAATTAATTAGATATATTTAGATTTCTCAATCAAATTAAATATATTTAGTTATTTTTGAATAATATATACTTTAAAATCTTTAAATAAATAATATAGAAATATAATTTTTTTTTGAATGGTTACTTTAAATTTAAAATGTATAATTTATATGAATATAATAATTTCAACAATTATTTTCATAGAATATAAATTGTAAAAAAAAATTTATATAACTAATATAAAAATTTATATAAGTTACATTAATGTAATTAATTAAATCTTGATTTTTTTTTATTTTTTTCTATTTAAACCAAATTATCATATCTTAAAAATTAATCACAACG